CTAATCTCATTGTTAATCCATATATCACATGATAATTTTTAGTATTAGAATCTAGATAATAAGAGGGTCTGTTCTGCTAAGTCTGCCTATCATTTTCTTGCTTCTCAGTTGGGATGGTTGATCCTAACGTGGACTAGTTGTATTGTTTGTGGAAGCTTCCCGTGTTGCCTCACGTTAAATTTCGTTGTTGGAAACTTTTGCACCGCCACCTCTCATTGTCGGATTGATCGTCTCAACTAAGAGTGTGCAGTAATGCTACTACTTGTCCCTTTTGTCGATCTAAAGCAGAAACCATTAATCACTTCTTTCTGTGCGTCTTTCCTATTAAATTATGGAAACTCTTTAAATCTTAACTAGATATTCAATTTTTAATGAGGGGGTGCAGTGTCCCAATCCTGATGGCCAACCCTTGTGGGTTATAAAGGATATTGGTCTTTGGTGAATATGGAGGGCTACGAATGATCTTGTTTTCAAACCCATTGCTTGTTCTGTTTACAAGATTTTTCATAAGATAGTAGAATTTGTTCTCTCTAATGACAAGGCCAAATCTTCTGATAGCATGGTGCATGAAATATGTCCATATCCTATTTGTTGGGTTAAATCTTTTGAAGGATGAGTGAAGATGAATCGTGATAGCTAAAAGATCAGTGATTTATATTTAAATTTTTTGGACAAAACGAAAGGGAAATCTACAGTTAGGAAGTGTCAAAGTTGTCTTAAAAATTTCGTAGAGATTTGGATAGAAAAAATGCAGTAGCAAGATCAAACAAACTGTGTTATGCGGTTGGAATTCTGCAAGTACATCTTTCATCGTAGAGATGAAAACTTTACGACAAAAAGTTTATGCAGCAATATAAGAACAATTTTTTTTTTGAATTTCTGAATAAGGATAACTAAATTACAGCAGTAGTAAGGTAGGAAACCAGAACTTATTGCAATTCACGAGTAGATCAAAGGATGATTCGCGGTGGTGGAGATGACGGTGGAATTCGGTGACGATCTTTTAAGCAAATGTGAGAATTGCTTTGGGTGATTGTGGAGGGCTAGTGGATGGTTGTGGAAGGGCAGCGAGACGCCAAGAACGTTGCTCTGATACTAAGTGTTAGAACCCTTACGGATTCTAAGCTTGGGGATGATCTTTTTAGGGGATCGACCTCTTTAGAACTCTATAGGGGTTCCTTCCTCCAGGTTGCTGCTCAAATGCTGCTAAAATGATTCATCTATTCATTGGGAAATGAGGATGAATACATGACTATTTACAGGACTTCTAAAACCCAACACCTAATATAACTCCTACTCAAGATTCCTACTTCTAATCAACTCCTAATATGACTCATATTCAAGACTCCTATTTCTAACCAACTCGTAATGCTTCTGTAAAAAGTAACCTCCAAACTACACTTAACCTTAGTCGACCTCTTCATCTCTTTAATAGGGGTCAACTAGGTAGATTTTACATGAATGTCTCATTTAATGAAACTCAATTACGACTCTCCTGACTACCGTGCTAATGAAATACTAGCTTTGTCTTCGGTTGGTTAGTGTGTATATAAAGGGAGATAGAACCGGTGAATATGTGGTGTAAACGTTATTATAACTAAGGTGTCGAATTGTGTAGTTGGACGAAGATCAATATTGCCGATGTTGAATCATTAGTCATCGTTTACTTGCATTGATCTGTATGCATTATATCTGTTTTCTTTTGTATCAATGTTGGGAAAGCTTTATGGTAATACAAACTGCAGTGTTATATGTTGTCTGAGAAGATCTTGCATCTCACAGTGGCTGTTCTTTCATGTAGATTATAATAAGATAATTTGTCGTTGTCAGTATTAGGCATTTAAGTCGTACTTGAAGAACGAAGAAGCACAACACGAAAAGAAGACAATACTTGTAGCTTGGGATAATAGGGAACCATGCCAAATATTGAGTTTGTTAAGCACAGGTTCAACTAGGGTGTTCATGGATGAGATCGGAATCCATCCAGAAGCAAGCAATGAGAGTGCCCAAGTAACTAAAAGTGAAGTTGCCCTCGTTGATATTAAACAAATTGCAAACATCTTTTCTTAAACCCTTACAAGCACTATGAGGAAATAATATCTTAGACTTAGACACACTAACATGTTGATTAATCAACATATTATAACACACAAACTGCATATATCAAATGATAAATTTAAAAAATAAAATAAAATAGAAAGGAGTAATATGTTTCTTATTTCAAGCATTATGGAGAAGAAATGATAACGACTGAACCACACCACGAGGATGTATAAGTAGGGTGAGAGGGGATCCCCTTAGTAGTTATCTCTTTAACCTTAGAAAGAAGTAATGAACTACCGTTAAGCAAGCATACAAAGTTAAGGGGAAGAAATACAAGGTTTCATTGGTGATTAAACTAGGAGAAAAATTGACTAAATGTAACATTGGAAGAATCGCATTTCAGGATAACCTATCATAAGCCTTCTCCAAGTTAATCTTAATATGATTCTTCCATTGCAGGATAACCTATCATAAGCCTTCTCCAAGTTAATCTTAATATGAATATAAGAATTCTTGCCCTTAGAAATATAGAGACAGTGAGCATTCTCTTGAGAAACTAAAATATTATCATCAATAGATTTATTAGAAAGAAAAATTGATTGTTGATTAGAAATGAGGGACCAAAGGGGGTCCCTTAAGCCTATTAGTCAAAACTTTAGCTAATATGATATAGTTGATATTACACAAAAGAAATTGATAAAAAAATCCTTAATTTCAACAGGGCACTTAAATTTAGGGATAAACACAGGAAAAGTCTTAGTCCACTTAAAACAAGGATAGTAAAACTATAAATGTTGAAAGTCTTAGTCCACTTGAAAGTGTTGGAAGGCATGGAACATAAAATTATAAATGATGCTCTAATTAAAATGATAAAATTCCATGATGAACCCATCAAGACTAAGGCTTTTCCAATCCTAAAGATATGAGATCATCACAAATCTCATGTCTACTAAAAGGATGGACCAGGTCAAGGTGCTCTAAGGACGAAACACCCCAACCATCGAAATTAAGTCAATCAAAAGTGGACGAGTTTAAAAGACTTGATTCCATCTAGAGTTGAGAGTGAAAATATATAAATTGTTTCTTGATATCTTCAATGTCCAAAATAAACACATAATCAATATTTAAGGTGATGAAGAAAATTATCTTTTCTTCTAGCCAAAACAATAACATGATAGTACTTTATATTAAGACCTCCCTCGTTAACCTACTTAGATTTAATTGTAGACCACCATTTAAGATTAATTTGTTTGATCAGTGCAAAAAAATTTGCTGTAGTGATGAGAAAATTTAATAAACTTAGAATCATATAAAGTACCCAGGGCTTCATTAGATTCCAAAAGTCTCATTTCCCTCTACCTACTGTTCCAAGCTGGCAAAATGATGTTTATTCCAGAAAGATGGAGAATCCCTCAAGCTACACATGTTTTTAAACATATTATCGAAGGAAGAGCAAAAAGTATCAATATGAATCTAAGAATAAGAGATGATACCATGTTCATCAGAGTATTTAGACTAGAAATGTTGAATTTAAAAAGTCTATTAGGATCATATCAAGCTTTCAGAATAGAACTAACAATTGGACAATGGCTGTCAAATAGATTAAGGCAAATACAATTAGCAAAAATCTAGTCCAGCCTAATGATAATATACATATTATTTTGTCTATTATTACACTAAATTTAGGATTGAGGAAACCAAGATCTCTTTTTAACAGGCGATGCATCCCCATGTAGTTTTGAATAGTGTCATAATGGGTTCTATCAGTATAGAGATATTAATGTTATCTGAGCCTCTTTGACAATGTAGAGGTGTTGGAGTGGCGTGAAATGACCTCTCCTCCCTATACTTCAATCAAATATAAAGAAAATGAGGACCCGTAACGTTAGTGGTTAAAAGAGAAATATCAATGCTACTTTTTTTCAATCAATCAAACATTAAACGTGTTTGGAGGCATATGAAGTTGTTGTCCTCAATTATTTTTTTATGTCCTTAATATAGTACCTTCAAGTTGATCAAGTTTTCACTCTATGTTAGCAATAATTACGTAGGCATAATACTTAATAGATTTTTTATTGTACGACACCTAGAAAAAAATAATGTTTAACTCAACGATTCATATGGAGAAATAAAACGAGCACCATTCAAGATCACACAAAAAAGTGGTTGGACATTCCCAAGTCTATTCAGCCTCCTTGTAATAGGGAGATGTCTCAAGAACAGTTTCCAACCAAATAAATGCAGTCGAGATAAAATTAGAATTTTCTACAAACTATTCTAATCAAAGCACACAGAAGAAGTGGTTAAGGCATACTGGTCTCTAAGAAAAATAATATGTTGTTCTAGTGTCGATCGTTTATTAATGTCAAGTTTCCAAATCCACTTATCATTATAGGGTATTTTAGAAATATCAATCTTAGATATTTGCTCATACATAATAAATAGCACCATACATATCAATGATTTTATTTTTATTCCAAGTACCAATTTGAATTAACTTTGAACTAAGGTAATGCTAAGAATAAGTGTTAATATTAAGAAATGTAGGCTTCAAGTAAAAGGTATATCAAACAATTAATTGGTAGAAAACACTCCCATAGACTCACCATTTCCAATTAACTGAGTAAATCCGCCTCTAAAATGTTCTAAAGCCTTATGGAATAATCTCC